AGAATGACCAGATCATACAACAAAAAAGTACACAGGCGTCCACTCAAAGTGGGGGACTTTGTACTAAGAAAGATGGAATCAGTCGGTAGGGCTAATGAGTCTGACAAATTAACTCCCAATTGGGAAGGACCCTACCGAATCTATGAAGAGGTCAGGGACGGTACCTACCGTCAGGAAACACCAGATGGCCAACCGTTGCCTCGAACCTGGAATGTAGATAATCTTAAGAAATATTATTTTTGAATGATGTAAATAGCCGAGAGCTACATAATAAAATTTTGCTATTTCATCCAATTTAATTTGTACTAAGAGGGGCATGCCTACTGATGAACAGTCGGCTACTCTCAATGCTTTTTTTTTTACATGCTTAATTAAGAGGGGCATGTCGCTTGTTCCACACAACCGGCTACTCTCCCATTACACAGTTCACCAAGAACTATCAAAGGCTCATGGCCGAAATGATCAGACCAGGCGCCAGGCCAACTGATCCAAATATTAAACTAATTCGACCTGTCCCAACATCATGGCAGGCGTCCTACGGCATCCATCCGGATGAAATTCGTCGCAGAGAGCAGCTCCTTTTTGGGTGGAACATTGTTCTATAAAATAATTACACGGCACCTATACGACTGTCTAGCCAAGACAACCACGTAGCCGTTTCTCAGACAAGGATACCTCTCACTTAACCGACTAATCAGGTCCAACAAGTGTTTGCAGTAACCATCCGAGTCAAATAACCGACTGAACTACTTGGGATAAGAACAGCCGGTACCTTATGAGTTAATAGCCAACAAACATTGGCGAATAAAGGGGAACAATCGGTACCCACCGCTTGAAACCTCTACTACTCAGTCATTCGGCGACTAAGTAACAATCATGTTTACTTAGTCACTCCTTAAAACTTGGTGTGAAACTAAAAAGGTGTTCATATATCGCCTGTTCCTACTAAGTTAACACAGCAGGGACTAGCCGGCCTAGACCGCTTAGTGTCTCTTGCTTAAAACCATGGCAGGTAGGAAACCACCTTCCTACTTGGTTAATTCTAAAAATGACAGGACCGCCTGCCTAAAGGGGATCCAGTCTTCAAAATGAGTCAGATACCGGTTGGATAAATGGCCGACTGATCGCCTAGCCTGGAAACAGACAACCAGTCGTCTAGGGGCATAGGCAGTGTGGCTACATCTTACCTGTCTACAACTATCGGCCATGCAAAACAGTCGGTATAGTATGCAACTGGATATCAGAGTTTCGATACTTAGCAAAATAAAAGCACAATTCGAAACCTTGTCAGAAAAGGCGACCTAAAAAGATGGTCGCCTAATTTCTATTTACAGCCGGCCACAAAGACCGGGATAAATATTCAAAACTCCGGCCCCTTGGCCGGGTAAAGATACAAAAAAGAGTCGGCCATAAAGACCGGCAAAATAGTCAGAACCCCGGCCCCCTAGCCGGGTAAAGAAAAACAAACGGCACGCAGGCCGAAGAAAAAGAAGACAAAAGCTTAAGATGGGGGCACATCTTCAACAATAACAGCTGCCGCCTGGTCAGCATTCATCTTGCTTGACTCGGCCTCAGCTGCATCTTTCTTCGACGCATCTACCCCAACAGGCACTAGGGCCACTACCGGATCCTCCTCCTCCAATGCCTCGTCCTCAGTAGCCGCCAGAATCTCTTGATTATATCTCTCAGAGCACTGGCGATACGTTTTTTTCCCATGAGGCAAAGTCGGCATTTGGAAAGAGGCGGCCCCAGGTCAGGCGCTGGATTTGAGCCAAGTCTTCCATCATCTCTCGGACCAGATCCTTCTTTTCATGCTCGGCCTTTGCCGAGAGCTCTTCAGTAAGACTCTTCTCCTGGGTCACCAGGCGTTCCTTAACGTGTGCCAAGGATTTCTCCAAGGTGTCGTATGAGGACATTTTTTGGCGAAGAGGTCTCAGCTCAGCCTTGAGATTGTTGATGGTCGCCTCCAGCTCATTATTTTTCTTCTGGGCCGCCTCCAACTGAGTGCGGATAGCAGAAGTAGCCTGCGCCTAATAATAAAGAATATCAGTTGTCAAAATCTCATTTTGGGCAATTTGAAACATTGCCTTATCACAGTCAGAGGCGGCCATAGCTTTAGCAGCCTTTACCTCTTTGTTCTTCCTATCAAGCAGCTTGCGAAGGCCGTTCACCCGGAGTAGAGACTGAGTAAAAGGAAACAGGCGTCAGGTTTCAAAAAACAGGCGTCCTGGAATTAAAACAACAAAAATATGCTAAGTATACCTCAGCAAGGAGTCCTGCAATTCCATCCAAGTCAAGGGTGCCGACACCCCTAACTGCCTCCCTCTCAGCCGGAGGCACGGCTTTGGTCATGGACTTGGCCACCTCGACCAGGTCCGGTTCCTGAAGGCCGGCTGCATCAAGCATAAACAAGAATGTTAGATAAAGCGCAAGGAAAGAAGGTTCAAAGCTGGAATGGCAGTTTCATACTTCTAGGCGACCTGCTTGGAGTTTGAGAAGGAGTGGCCGACTGTTTCTCAACCGCCGCATGTTTCCTGGCAGTGCCAGAAGAGCTCGCAACAGTCGTCTTCCGGGTCTTGGAGTCCGGCTGTTGGGAGGAAGATGTTCTTGGTGTGCCCGTCTAAAAAAAAACCTAACTTCAAAAAGGGAAAAGGCGAAAGCTTGGAACTTACTAAGGCCGCCTCCTTGTTAGGAGAGTCGATTGAAGATTGTTGCATGATAGAGGCTCGCAACATAGCCGCCGCAGTCTTGGAGGCGGTAATTTTGCTCATGGCGTCCGCTGCAGAAATGAATACCAAAGTTAGCAAAAAATCATAACAATAATTTCTGCAAAAGAGCGTATTCGTCAGGCCGGCTACCTCTTGAGCACCGACTGCTGAGGACACAGGCGGCCAGAAAGTACTCGTCATAGAGCCATTTGAAGCTCGGGACGCAGTGCAGGGGTACTTGCTCTCGTACCCCTGTAGTAGAGTCGACCCTCGTCTCTACTTTAAAGAGTCCTTTGTCCGGGATCTCTTTCTTAGCTCTTGGGGGAACAGGCGGCATGCTGCGACCGCCTGCAAGAAGAGCGGATCTCTGTTCCACCTGTTGAAGCGCTTGTTCAGCTCCGTGTCTTAACTCTCAATGATAAGGAAGGTGCTTCTCCAATCCTTCCATTTGTTCTCTTTACCTCTTGTCATGAGGTAGCCACGGTGGCTCGTCAATTGGTACCAGCCGGTACCGCCTGCCTTAGGGGTCCGGCTGAGATAGTTCATGTGGGCGAAAGCCTCGAAGTTTGGCTCCATCCCGTGTAGTTCGCACCTGGCCACATAGCCGAGAACGTTGAACCATGAATTTGGGGCTAACTGCCATAACCCCAACTCATACCCATCCAAGATCCGCTGAACAGCCAGATGTAGGGGGAAGCGCAACCCAGATCTGATGGCCGCCTCATGGCAGCCAAAGCAGGCGCTATCGTAGCTGGTACTAGCCGGCCAGACGACTGTGTCCTCCAGGTCTGGCACAAAAACTAAAAAGCCAGGCCCCATTACGTGGTTTGCAATAAAGCTCCCCACTTTCTCTTGCATGGCCTTGATCCGACCTTTTGGAACCCTGCAGTAGTAAGGGGTATTTTTCTCTCTATAGGAGGCGGATGGCTCCACCTAGTTGTTCCCTTTCTCAACTGCATGAGAAAGCCTCGCCTCTTGTAGGCGGTTGTGTTTCTCCTCTGTGTCTAGAGAAGCATGGCCAGAAGAACTAGACTCGGACTCATCCTCTGAAGAGTCCGAAGAGGACGATTCCTCTCCTCTCCCAGAGGGGCCCGCCTCCTCTCCTTCAATAGGAGCAGGAGAAAATGTAGACATGTCTACGGTAAAATGGGAAGGGACCACCTTGACCCCTCCCTCAGAGCTGTCGGCGGTCAAGCCGCCTTGGTTCACTTCAGCATCTGGCGCCTGGTCAGATGTCTCACTAATCGGCACCTGGTAGGAGGAGTCGTCTGAGTTTGTGATCTTAGCAGTTCTTTTTGTTCTGGCCATTATGTTCTGCATAGACACAGAGACAGTCGGACTTTGTATAAAGGGCAAAGATTGGTTCGAAAAAGGGCAGGCGGCACTCCTAGTCCTAGATTCATCCGTCCCCGGTGACCGGCTGATCACTAACCTAGGTCGTGTCGTGTGCTTCCGTGGTGCCATTTCAAAAAGGAAAAAATAAAGAAAAATTAAAATAGCGAGAGAACCGACGGTTACCTGAACGAGTGAGAAGTTGACGAAGTTCTGAAAATTCTGAGAAAACAGCCGACTTGTCAGAGCAGGCGGTAGGCAGAAAGTATCCGGAATGTCAGAGCAGGTTCAGGGGTCCGAATGTTCTCTTAAAAAGTTCTCAAGTGTGAAAATGACTGAAGTCAACACACCCTTATATAGGCAAAATGAGAAGGCGAAGGGTCACTCCCAAATTCAAAATTTGAGCGGGAAAACCTCTCGGCCTTACATCAAGTGACACCTGTAGCAGACCGTCGCCTGTTACGATGCGACACCTGTCACAGGAAATACGTGACCAGTCACGTGCCACCTGTGAGGGGCAAATGATTAGGGAATTTTTATCCACCAATCACCATCTGATAAGTGGACCAACCGGGTTCCGCCACGTGTCCTTCACGTAGGCTAATAGGAGCCTGTCACGTGTCAATCAGAGATTCGTCCTCCATGGACCAATTGCGACGCGACATGTGTCCACCCATGCTAAATGGGAAAACCGGCCAACAAGGCCCAATCCTCGTGGGAGGCCCAGTCAGTTCTAGGTTTAACCTAAACCTAGGAATTGGCACGCATCCCAAAGCATATAAATATGCTCATTAATCCTCTAAAAGGGGATTACGCACATAAAAACACTCTCACCTAGAGAGAATCAATTACAATATTTCGCATTAATTACTCCTTAAACAAGTACTAACTTGACCGTTGGAGGCGGATCTCCAAACCACTCGGAGTGTCCGTTTGTTTTGCAGGTACAGGCATCCGGTTCCAGTCTCGGAATTGTAACTCTCCCGCAGGACATCAGAAAACCCCGAAACACTTACCACACTAAACTTGTGGTGAATCTTCTGGAAAAGAACTTAATACTCGCCAGCATAAGAACACCACAATATGAGCTGCACATTGGAGGACCACAATAAACATAAACAAAATCCATAACTTCCAGCTTTTCAACCAAATAAGGCAAAGTGCTTACTGATCCCTTAGCTCTAAGATCTCAACAGTGCATCTTGTCCAAGAATTTAGTTGACCAGTCTTCCATTCTTGGTCACAGAGTTGAAAAAGGACGTCGATACCACTAACCTGTAGTTTGACAAACACATTACACATAACCAAATGGGTCCCAGTAAATACTATGTTTGGTTAGAATGAAAGGCATTAGTATTAGTACCTGAAGATTAAAATCTTTGGCATGTGTGATGAACGGGTCAGGGTACATCGAATCTATCATCCACAACTTTCGAGCCTTCATGTCTAATGCTAAGCACCACCAGTGCGACTCGTTAGGGGAATCCTTGGGAACTTCAAGCACTGGGACAAAGACCTGATAAAATGAGAATGTCAATGCCATAAGCACAATTTAAAGTATATACATGAAACACATTTGAACCTAGAGTATTGAACTATGAGAGTAAATAGCTAACCGCTTGAATTTGCTATAGCTTATAGCTCAGAAGAAATTTGTCATACTGTTACCAATATGTTCTTCTTTTTCTTTGTTCAACAATAGTCGATTCTACGGTCCAAACAAAAAAAATAACAAGCATGATCATCAATTATGCATAAAAATATCACACACCAAAGCTGAAATGAACCAAGAACCACTTAACGAAAAGCTTGGGTCAAGCCAAAATACGCTTGCTTCTGTTCACAAAGTCTTTGGTGCCCCATTGGTTGGTGTATAGCACACTATCCATTCTAACATAATCACTAGAAACCCGCGATTTATGGTGCACTACTTTAAAGCAATCCCTCTAGTTGGCTTCCATGTGGTCACACTTTATCAACACAATACCAGGGCTATGAAGCCACAACATAACACTAAGTATACACATAAACATATTAAAATTCACAATTAAAACCAAAAATTTTGAAAAGGCATGCACACAACAGACTTTTCACTTAATTAAATGTTTCTGAATTACCTAAGTGGATCCTTCAGGTCCTTCTAGCGCTTTACAAACTGCAGCAAACGTGCCTCAAGCGTTGTATGACATCGGGTGTTTGACACATTGGTGAACATGGCTGACAAGGCTGCCTTTATAGGTTTCACCACCCTCTTATCCGCAGTTCTGTCCCCCTTCCCAGTAGACTCATCTTCCTCATCAGATGAATATTAATTTGGCAAACTGCACTCAGCATCAACCAACACAATAGTTCCCCTCATCCCAACCAAGCCCACAACTATTTGAGGTCTAGGCTCCATGTTCTCATCTTCCATTTCAGTATCAAAACAGCTATGGAACTCTGTGAACACACTCATCAACCTCTGCGTCAACCCCATCCACCTTGGATTCATCCCCAACCACCTTGACCTCACCCCCATCCTTTGTAAATAGTGGATCAACCGTAATCTTTTGAACCACACATTCCAGGTCATCTTCACTTGAAACTGTATCAGTAGAAGGATCTTCACTAAGTCCTTTCCCACCTTGTTTCAGTTGTTCCTTCTCTAACAAACAACTGGCCAAATCTTGATCTGCACCACTCACAGCATCATGCTTTTCACTAGACAAGGTCTCATGCACAACAACTTCCTTCTCCATTGGCTTACCCCCAATCACTCTCTGGGCATTAGCTACGTCAACGCACTATGACATCAACTGATGCATTGATTTCATAACATCACCTAATTTCAAGTCTATCACAGACATCAACTTGGGTGTAATTCTATCAAACACCTTTAGGAAAACATAAATACAAACTATTAACAACTGGCATAGGACATATCACTTATTTTATAAAATACAAAGCTACATCTAAAACAATCATTGATTTTCATTATATCTGCCGCGTAATATTTTCCACGTCTACCTCCTGCGTAGTTTGTTGCATGTCAACTCTTTCCACCCTTTGCTGCACGTCTACTCTATCAACCCTTTGCTTTGGAACCTCCCGAGGAGTCAACGGATGCTCCTCCCCATAAGCTATATTCAAAGACTGCAAAAATATCAAACAACAAAAGAACCCAAAACACAACAGCTTTAGTAGTATTCACATCAAATGAAAGTCAAACAAATATTAACTGCAATTTTTTAGAAATCCCCAGATTCTTTTTTATCATCGCCAACCGCGTCATTGATCTTTTATACGGACCATGCCTCGAGTCTCGGTCTCACACCCCACCTCATTGAGACGCGACTGAGGTGATCTAGATAAAAAATCTACAAAAAATGCACCGGATGGATGATTTAGTTCAACTAGCCATTACAAACAATAAGACTGCAAATTTTAATAGAATTACTCAAAAAGCATTTGGTGTACGGTGGCAAATACCCAATTTTACTCACCAATAAAAAAAGGATACAACCCCCAAAACCTGCAACATATCCATCACGAGCAAATTTCTTTTGGAAACTCTTGGCTGCTGCAACCATCTAGTTAAATACATAAGTTCACCGGTCATACTCATCAGCTTCATCGTAAACCAATAACGACGGTACAAGCTTCACCCCAAGATAACTTATATTTGTCGTAGCACACAATACGTAGCCTAGAGCTGCTATGAGAAAGGCTATCTTGAAATCAGCCTTCTCATCATCCGATAGTGGCAACACATTGCCTTCCTCATCCTTTCAAATCAGTGCCCCCAAAGCAGCTACTAATGAAATGCTATCATTTTTCCCAAACTTTTCCAAAATTCTACTATGCTCTACCTACTTATCCTGAGGAATCGTACAGGGCAATGCCTTCGACCCCATGGGAATCCCAAGTACATACTCGACCTGAAGAGGACTCAAAGGAAGCACATACTCATCTCCAAAATTTATCGAACCATCAACCATCACCCTTGTCAATAGCCAGTACACAAACTTCCGGGGTACAAAAGTTAAGGGTATACTTAACAACCCTCCAAAATCCATTTCTGTGACAAGCTTCTTCCTAGAGTCATCAAACTTCTTCACCGCTGTCGCGAAAGCCTTCACACCATGCAAATTAGGGGCCTATAACATTACATGTTGCATCAATGGATGCACACTAATGATTATATCTGGCCGATATTTCATCAATTCTTTAGCTACCTCTCTGCAAAGAATAAAAGAAACAAAGTTAGCTTTGAAGTGACACAGCATACAACTAGTTGATCCAGAAGTTTCACATGCCTCACAAAGCTGACACAAGCAACAAGGCAACATAATATACTCAAAGCCGACAGCCATATTGCACAAATTTAATACAAGGTGAATTGACTTCAATCCATTCAATTCAATTTGTCTATCATGACCCTTTCTGACAGAATAATTACAGAAAAATGTAATAATTTGGGTCATATTTAGAATTTCAGTGTCAATTAGTTTATTAAAGGACGATTTAATCAGTACTTAGTATCTTCATGCACCTTAATCTATCACGACCCTTTAAATTGTACCATTCCCCTCAAAAAACAAAAAAAAAAACCCAAAACATATGAACTCTATAAATCATTCCTCCAAAGAGATTTAATCAGTGTCAACTGTACCATTTAATCTTCTAGTGATAGCCCAACAAGACTATCCCTCTTCCTCTAAATTCTCAAGAGTCGGAATGTACAATACTCAAATACGGTTAAAAGACATGATACATTTCACCTATCTCATCACAATTCTGGTAAAAAAGCTTTAGTTGAATTGTTTATGCAAATTTCAGAAACGAATACTAAGACACAACAAGCACTAAAACGAGGGTTTACCACAAAGTGATGGGTAATACTGTTATAAAAGAACAGATATTGGATAAGACAATACCTGTAGGTTTATAAGCAGCCAAGTTTCTGTTCCATAAGAATTTTGATCCAATGATAACCATTAGTGGTCAGACAAGTTTTTTTTTTCTGTCCCAGCTCCTGTTTGGTACAAATTATCTCTTCCTTTTCAATTCCTGGACCAAAAATAAAAATCAACCTAGATTAAACTGACTTTAAATAAATCAAAAAGCAACAACAAGAGAAGCAAAATGCAGACTAAAGAGTTAAACTGGAACTATGACTATGAGTATGTTTCTAATTTTTTCCACTTGCATTCACCAAATCCTACATTGAGGACAGCTACGCTCAGGCACTGAGTTTACACATAATTTTTACCTTCAAAGGATTAGATCTTAGTGTCAAAAGACAGCTAGGACTATATTTTCATGAAAGCAACAGTGTAAATTGTGAGTTGTTTCCCCAAAGCAGATATGTGATTCATGATATACATGTTCAATTTTAAAAAAACCAAACAGCAGACAAGAGCAAACATATAGAGAATTAAATTTGAAAAAGAAGGGTCCAATCCATCAACTAATGTAACATAACATCAATATTCTGTACAGAGTTACATAAGGGAAATTAAATAGACTAATGGAAAGGACTCTATTGGATGTATTTGTACATTCGTTGAAGTCCTCTTCCTCACAACCTTACAGCTTTGTGAAATGTGAAGGAAGTCATTACAAAGAGATAAATTTGACTTGCTCTAAGCAACATAGTTATTGATAATTGATAAATACAAAGTAGAAAGCAAAGACTTTCTTCCAAGATATTCTACACATTTGAAATATCAAAATCAATTTCACAAATCTGTTCACTTTAGGGCCTTAGGCAGATGCTGCTATGTAAAATTAATTACTTGCTTAACTCTAAAACAGTTGTCTTGCCTAGATAACTTGCTGTAAATCAACATATAACACCAATTCTGATGGAATATGAAACTCCAAAAGATTTGGTTTCCTTAGAATTAAGAGATGAATATGAACTGAAATTAGGCATGAAAGTGAATTAAATTAGTCCACATCCACCATGTCAAAATTTTAATGTCAGTTATAGCTTGAGACAAATATTAAAGACTCGGTGAATACCTACTTCCACTCCACAATTTCAAAGCTGAAGTTAAAAGAGCATTAGAAATGCAAAAGAAAGGATATTACGAATCCGCCATCAATGATAATGAATTGGAAATCCAATGACAATCCTTAGTTGACTATAAATGTACAACCAGACCTTATGTACCAATCTGTACAACTACAGAAGATTGAGAGCTGTAAGGCATAAATTGTGTATACTTTACTAATTACTGAAAACATTCTCAACAATTCAAGCAAATGCCTTGAGCCAAAGATTATGGAAAAAGGAGGGAACATGAAGTACCTTTAACCTGGAATTTGGATCCATATAGATTTTGCAAATAATTTGATGACAAATCTGTATGATTTGGAATTGCACGGTTTAGTAAATCATAGAACGTAAACATCCAGTGCGAACCTGAATCACAGACTTTAAATATTCAATGTCAGCTCGGATTTCAGCAACAAGAAAAAAATTGGCCTCCCAACACATCATATTAAAATGTCATTTCTGCTTTCCTGTATGAGAAAGATATGATCAGAAATTTATCTTTATTAAAAGCAAATATTTACTAAGAAGCATACAAGCAGATATGAAACTACATCTGCCAGGAAGGATGATGGAGCATGCAAGTTTACAGCAGTTCAACAAAGATCATGCACACACACACACATACAAGGGGGAGGGAGGTAAAAAAAGAGATTTCTGATCAAATATATCAGAAACTTGATCAAAATGCAATATCAGAAACCTGAAAAACAACACCATTTTTACCTAATTAAGAACTATCACAAAGTTACAGTAACAATTCTATGCTCAATCGTGACACACAAAGCTAAAAGAAAATTAGTCAAAATTCCTCGAATTATCCCAAATTTTCCTCACAATAAATTTCCCTTAATCTCGAATCACAGAAAAAATAACTTAATTAGTAGAAATCAAACCGAATTGAAGAAAAAATCATACTTAAATAAGCAGGCAGCAATTAAAGATTAATAAATTCAACCAATTAAGGAGAGAGAAATTCGAGTATGAGAATGAAGTAGAGCTAAATTTGTATTGTTGTATTGAAAAAATCCGGGAAAAAGAATCAGTATGACGGAAACAATAGAGATTTACCAAGTGGATGAGAGAGAAAATAATCACCACCAGCACCCACCTTGTAACCACCCTCTCACCACCATGAATATCTAAAACCCCACCACAACCACCCAAAAGCCACCCAACCAACTCGCACCACCACCAATTGAAGCCCCACGTCACCAACGACCACCAACGAACCCACCCAACCAACTCGCTTGTCCACCAGCGACCAGCCGACCACCTTACCACCTCCAACAAACCGAAACCCCAACTAACTAGCACGACCGCCACTGACCAGACGACCACCAAGGAACTAACCCACCCACCCAACCAGGTGTCGTGGCGACGGCGATGGAGTCTCGAGCCAGAAGTTTTAGGGCGACAGATCTGTAAGGACGGGGAGAGGAGAGAAAAGGAGATTGAGATGAAAGAGAAAAGCGGAGTAGGGTTTGAGATGAAAGAGGGACTACGGAAGAGGAAAAGTAAGATCGGAGACCGGGTTTTTTTTTTTATTTAACAATTGCTTTTGCACCGGTTTGAACCGAACCGGTGGGAAAACAAATTTTTCGCACCGGTTTGGTTAGAACTGGTGCGAAAAAACAAACTTTTCCCACCGGTTTGGTTAAAACCGGAGCGAAAAGTCTTTTCCCCAATCCCGTCCATTTCTTTTACCACTGGTTTTTAAGAACCGGTGCGAAAAGTGCGGTGCCTAATTCATTTTTTCTACTAATGTATCAATTCACACTAGAGACAAGAAAAAATAATTAAGCTGACAAAATAAGACCATGAACCGATTATAGTCCTCGTATTTCACTCGAATTCATAATTTCTGACTTACTTACTGCAATACCTCCACTTTTTCCATTAACAAGTGAATTACTCTAAATTACTACAGCTTTTCTTCCTAACAACCCCTTTACATTTACTTAACATATTACTGAATATACATACATTATGTTACAACAACTACTTCTAACTCACCTGTAATTTCCAATTTCTCTATTTTACACCATTTTCAACATGTTCAAGCCTTTATTTGTTCATTAACTAAAAAAACCAGCTAAACGAACAATACCAATACATTCCCACTACACTTACTTGTGAATGTTTTATGAGGTATTTTAATCTTTCAGAACCAATTACAGACTCACAATATTATTACCAAACTTATAACTCAACTAGAATTCATAATTAATCCGTTTTATAAAACTGCCCTCATCTTCACATGCACATTTATTCACTATATTTTCTCACCTACCTAAACAAAAAACCAACCACATACAAGCATTTCCATATCAAATATTTGGCGACAAAAAAGGTTGAGACAATACCTTTTGCGTATTTCTTGATTGGGTTTAACAACAACCCCTTTCTCTTTCACCTCTTCTCCCTTCGTCTTGTCAACCTACACAAAACATTATACATGTAATTTATCCATCCAAATATTACTCAGTCAAAAACTTTTTATCATTATCATCTAACATGCAATATCTTTTGCTTGACCCTCTTTGTTGTCTACTTCTGATCACCAGTACCTCGCTTGCGCTTCCCTTTTTCAACTTTTTCTTGCAATAACCTGATCAGGAGATCCTGGTAACCACTCTATTAGGTTCAGGTTCTTCCTCACTAGCTTCACCCTCCTCCACATCCTCCTCAGAATCACCATCTTCAGAACCACCATCATCAGAACCAGATTCATCAGCATCAGAATCATCAGAAACAACATCCTCAGAATCATGTAATTCCTCTTCCTTAAAAACAGGATCAGGTTTCACTTTCTTCTTGCCTTTATTTACAGCTTTCTTTTTAGGCGCCTCATTCACCCGACTCATTACGGGTTTAGACCTCGCCTACACTCATACAAATAATTCACATAATAAATCAACTACACCACATAACCATCACTAACCAAACATACAATCTTTGTATTTCAACCAATAATAACTCACCAATTCTGATCCCTTCTTCGTCCTCGCCATTATTTCCTCCTGCCAAGTAAAAATTAACCCTACATAAATGACATTTTCCAACTGCATACAACCATTTCAACCAACCCCTTAAATGTTCACATATAAAATTTTCACTCCTAAAATACACTTTACTCACAAACCCAAAAACATTACCAACAATCATACTTTGATAATCAATACTACTACCAAACTAACAAAATCAATTTCACTCATTAATAATGCGAATCCAACAACTGTTGGGTTTCGTAGCGTCTAACAGTATGCGAAATGAAATGCGCCCAAGATCCGCACACTAATTACGGTAACTAATCATGCAATCACAAAATTAAACAAAAAAGAGAGAGAAAGAGAAAATACATTCTTACCCTTGACGCGTGCTTCGCTCGCTTACGAGCTCTTACTTGAAAGCTCTAGCCTCATAAGTGCGTAGGCCTCTGACGGCTCGCATCCTCGACCCAACTGGTCTCTACCCCGAAGGTAAGTCGGGGCTAGACCAAAGAAAAACTAGAGTATTAGGAACTTAAAGGTTTTCTCACTTTCAAGGAGATGCCTTATTGAGTTCAACTCAAGTGCTTTTTCCCAAACCCAAAACTTGGGTATTTATAGGGAAAGGAGCCTTGATTTCCCATTCCCCATCAGTGTGGGAGAATTGCATTTTTCCCAATTTATTTTAATCTAAAACAAATTAAAATGAAAAATGAATAAACAAGCGCCAAGTGGACCATTTAAGGGGGAGGGACCAAAATCCCCTTGCTCCCCAAGCAATCCCCAAAACCGGTCCCCTCTATAAACCGTACAACTGTCCCCCATGCTTGGCTGGCTGGCAGCCTGCCTTGGCTGCCAAGGCTGCCCAGCTAGCGCCTAGCACCAAGGTTGGGCTTGCTGGCCAGCTTGCCTTTGCATGCGCGTAGCAAGCAAGCCACGCATGCATTGCTGGTTGATGCTGCTGCGATGCGTTGCGGGTGTGTTAGTGAAGTACGAGGCCCAGATGCTCCTGCTTGGTGCTGCTATGCTAGCAAGCACGCACACCCATGCACGCATAGCCACATCACACGCACACCCATGCACGCATAGCCACACCACACACACACATGGCACGCAGCTTGTGATGCTCGTGCTGTGCGATGTGCGAGTGTTGGGCAATGCTTGGCACGCTAGCACGCATGCAGTTTGGGACCTCGCCTAGCCTAGCACTCGCATGGCTAGGCTAATGCAATGCTATAGCTTGGCTCGAACTTGTCGCTTGCTTGATTCTACGTCTCGTCGAATTCTAAATTCGACTTGACTTGTGACGCTCGGATTGATTCGTCGTCTCGGATCGGTCATTCGATTGGGGTTCGACCCAAAGGGTTCAGCCAAGATTAAGCCGTAATATTAATTACCCATTAATATTAGTAATCGGAAGCGGCCTCCACGTAGGCATTCCGATCACTTGACCTTACCGAAGAATTAGTTTTCTAATAATTTCGAACCCTCTATTAGAATAATACACGTGTTGGAAGGACACCATTCCTTTCAATCTCCCACTTGTCCTTCCAGAAAAGTGTGCAGTTAGTGTATAGCCCATTTCCAATGTCGCTTAATGTCTCTTCATGAATTATAAGGTAAGATTCTTCGTCATCCTTATTACGTCCAGAAGTGTTTATCGATTTCCGAGTTTGACTATCAATAAGTAGATGATTTCTAAAATCCATCTGAGCACGACCATGCATTTTCACAGTCTCACTCTTCCAGAAGCCTTGTAAACAACAAAGACATATTCCCATTGTTAATAGGGGGACATTTCCAGTCTCGTACAGTAAGCTTCCCTTACTAAGAGGACCTAGTTGCCCAAGTGTCGCCTTTATAATCCCCTTTCACGGAAGACGTTTGACAACATCAAAACGACTAGTACTCAAACAAGAGAACTTACAATACACATGGTCGAGGAAAGAGGTTTCGATAGATATAATGAGAAATGTACTTATGACGGTTTTAAATCTCTTAAAGTACTCTCATAGGTCGGTCCGGTACAGTTCCAAAGCAATACCTGTGCAAATGATTTATGACAATCATGTCCTCGTAGCACAAGAAACGGTGCTATAAATCATACTACACACTAATCTCAAGTTGTCATTATTCGTCCATCATTTAAATTACCTTGATTAGGGATAATTTTTTATTGAAATATTCAATGTTCACATAACAGGTGTTTCTTTATGCAAGACATTGTCTTGATACCCTGTCTTGAATATTCTTCAAATCGAATGGACTCATTATTTAATTCTAAACCACAATGAAATAGAAATGGAGTGATAATAATTTTGCAGGAAATTAAATTACTCCAAAACCGAATGGTTTTAACATAGTGTTTTACATTAAGACATCAAGTTTAATTAAAACACATATACAAGGAAATCAAAGCCAATCTCCAACATGTTTGATTCCCATTGCCTCAACGAGCTTGTTGTGCTTCACTTGAGGCGAAGGTTTAGTTAGTGGATCGGCTACATTGTCGTCCGTTCCAAGCTTAAAAATTCTGATTTCACCCTCGGACTTCCATTCCCTTATCATGTGAAATCGCATCTTGACATGTTTGACCTTCTGATGTTCCCTTGGCTCCCTAGCCTGAGCAATAGCTCCATTATTATCACAATAAAGGTCTATAGGACCCTTGATGGAGGGTACAACATCAAGTTCACTAATGAACTTACAAATCCAAACTGCCTCCTTAGCTGCCAAGTATTCGGCTTCGGTTGTAGAATCTGCAGTGGTGCTTTGCTTAGCACTCTTCCAACTAAACGCTCCTCCATTTAGGTAGAATATGTACCCTGACTGCGACTTGGAGTCGTCTCTGTCAGTCTGGAAGCTCGTGTCGGTATAACCTCTAACAACCAAATCATCACAACCACCATAGACCATAAACTTATCCTAGTTCCTTTTTAGGTACTTTAGGATATTCTTGGCCGCAGTCTAATGAGACTCTCCTGGGTCTGATTGGTATCGGCTCGTAGCACTCAAGGCATACGATACATCTGGCCTAGTCCATATCATGGCATGCATGATCGATCCAATAGGCGAAGCATATGGAATTTGATTAATCCTCTATCGCTCATAAGGTGTCTGTGGACACTACTTCTTGCTGAGAGTTATACCATGTGACATAGGTAGGTGATAAGTGTCATTTATGTCACTATTTCTTAGAGGTTTCTAGTTAGTTTTTCATTGTTTTGAAATCTTTTTACTTGGTTTTAATAAGGTTTTATTTCATTTGTCGTGTTTGCATGTGAAATGTCATTATTGATCAATTTTGGCTTTTCTTGCATATTTTTGGTTGCTTCTTGCATTAGATTAAACTTTATTGGTTTATTCTTATGTTTAGAAACACTTGGATAAGTTCTTTGCTCAAGATTGAAGATATATAAAACATAAAAGAACAATAATGAAGAAATGTGCACTTGATTTGCAAAGATCGAACTTCAAACGCCTATATCCTTTTATATACAAAATATATCTGAGTGATTCCAATTGGAGGTGAAAGCTTATCTCAAGAGCTTTCCAACGACTGGTCACATGCCTTATTTTGACGAGTAACAAAGAAGTTATAGCCTTCCGGAACGAAGCTGCTTCCAATAGGAAAATTTGCACGCCCGTGCAGTTTGTGCACGACCGTGCTAAATGTGGCACGTCCGTGCAGGCCTGTGCTCTGGTTTTCTGAAGTTTCTGCTCTGTCTTCACGTCTGTGCCACCTTTGG